AAAAAAAAAAACGGATTAATCATAAACAAATTATTTAAAAAATTTTAAAAATCCAAAAATAATTAAATTATAATTTCTTTAAATTTAAGCAAGAGAAGAAAATTTAATAAATGAAAGAAATTTACTCAGCAAATCATCCGAAATAATTTCTATCCAATAATCATTCCACTTTTTTTTTTTTTTCAAAATGTTCAAGCAATACGTTCATTTTGCACTTCATCCTTTTCATCAATAATTCAAAACTTATTTCTCCAATGTTTTTCAATCAGGTTCCATAGTTTATTTTCATTCAACTATTGCTGAATCAATTGGTATTTTTTTTCAATTTAAATTGCTTTGATTCATTTTCTTTCTTTTCCTTTTTTTTTTTTTTTTTTTTTTTTTAAAAGTTATAACATTCCAATCCAATACCTTTTTTTTTGTTTTTAGTTTAGTTTAATATTTTTTTTCGTCTTTATTTTCAAATTTCTCTCTAATTAAATTTAAAATTTCCAACGAAATTTTTTTTTTTTTATTTCAACTATTTCGTTGCACTACTTTTTCTCTCTCTCCCTCTCTCTCTCTTTCTATTCTTTCTTCCTAATGATACATTCCTTTCTTCTTAACGTTGTAAATTTTTTTTTTTTTTTGTTGAATGAATCGATTTTTGTAATTAATTTTTTTTTTGATATAAATAACATGCGAAATTACGCTTTAACTTTTATAAGCAATAATTTATTTTATTCTTAGTTGTTCACTATCATTGATTTCATTATTTTTATCAATCTTTGTCTTTTTATCAGCACTTTGAAAATTTACTGTCGTCTAATTTTATCAGTGTTTTTCTTTAGCTTTTAAAAATCGAAACAAAGAATGAAATGGATGATGGTAAATTTTAATGAAAATGATAAATTTAATGGAAAGTATTTTTCATGTAAGCATCATTTAGTTTATCTGTTGCTAATATCTCATAATTATTGTTAATGAAAATTATTTGTAATTTTTGTGAAACCTTAATTAATTTAATTTGAAACTATCAAAATTTATTGGATTTCATTTTGGTATAAATAAATGTTACCTGAATTATTTCATTATAAATTTTTGAAATAATTTAAAAAATTTTAATACCTTTTTTTTTCTTGCAAATTATCCTGCATTTTTCTCAAATTCCCACTTATTTTATCAAGCAATAATATTGTAATAAAATAATGCTGTCCAATTTGATATATCTATCAATCTATCACTTAATTACTTCAGATATTTTGTATTGAAATAAAAAAAAGAAAAAAAAGCAGAAAAATCTCCCATATTAGGAACTAATCAATAATGTCTATGCTTAACTATTGGATGCTTTTTTTTTTTCTTTTTTTTTTTATAAAGATTGTGAAATATTTCAATAGTACCATTCAATGTTGTAATGATGTTTTATTTTAATAAAAATTTGTTAGTATTACATCATATGTTGTGAAATTTTTAGTTTTTATATAGGTATAGTTAAATATTTGTGACAGAAAGGTTTACTGATAAATAAGTGTTTGTTATGTTTAAGTTATAAGTGAATTATCAGAAAATATCAAATGGGTAGTTGATTATCAGATTAATTACTGTTGATCAGTTAATCATACAGAATTACTGAACTGATACCAATCGAAAGGCATTCATCAT